ATTTAATAAATAAAAGAAATTTAAAAATTGAATTAAATTTTCCCTTTTAAAATCAAAATTTTATTAGTTTTTTAAAGCCGCAGTTTCCCTGGACCGCCCCCCTTTAAAATTATCGGGGACAAAAAAATTTTTTTAACCCCCCCCCGGGTCGAAAACGTTTTGCAGGGCCGCCCTGGGGCAAAAACCCCCCCTTTTAAAAAGGGGGGCCCCGTGCCCCGAATTTTTCCCCCGGGTCGGGGGGGCGCGCACCCCACCACTGCTCCCGCCGCCCCCGGGGGTGACACCATTCAAACCCTAGGATCAATCATAGTTTTCACCCAGTGTTTGTCGGTTTAAATCGATGATCGTCCCGGGCCCCTTCTTTGTCCGGGTGTTGACTTTACACGGGAAAAGGATATAAAATGCCCTTTTTTTTTCTCCCTTTTACACATTCCGTTCCAGCCCGAGAAGAACAAGTAAACGTGGTAAAACACTACACTTTTAACAGTTAAAACACACCAAGGTCCTTTTAACTCCCTGATCGCCCCCCCCCCATTAACCCCTTCACGGGCCCTGTCACCAGGGGGTCACTAAATCAGTAAACGATTTTTACTGATCATGATTCAGTGTCGCGGGCGATTTCCCCAAGTGTTGGCGCCCCTCCCAGAAACGCCATTTTGCCCGCCAAAACAGCAGTAACCCCTTTTAAAAAAAACCCCCCTTGATCGCCCCCACCCCCATTAAACCCCCTTTTCACTGCCCTTTTCCCCAAAGTGTCACGATCAGTAACCCGGGGTTTTTTTACTGATCACTGTAAACAGTGTCGCGGCGACTTCCGATAGTGTTAGCGCCCCCCCCCAATAGCCCCCAATTTTGCCCCCATTACCCCAAAACCCCAAAAAACCCCTTTAAAAAACCCCCCTTATCCCCCCCCCCCCCTTAACCCCTTCACTCCCCTGTCCCCTTTTTCCCACTGACCATTAAAACGATTTTTACTGATCCTGTATCTTGCCCGCTGGCAACCCCCGATAGTTTTTTAAGGCGCCCTCCCAAATAGCGCCAGTTTTCCCCCAGTACAAAAACCAGAAATTTCCCCTTTTAAACCCCCCTTAATCCTCCCCCCCCCCCATTAACCCCCTTTTCACTGCCCTGTCCCCAAAGTGTAATTTTTCATTTTAAACCCGGGGATTTTTAACTGATCACTGTATCAGTGTCGCTGGCGACTTCCGATAGTTTTTAACCCGCCCCCCCATATAGTGCCAGTTTCCCTTTCTAAGGGGGCACGGGTTTTTTTAAAAAAAAAAAAACCTGAAAGCAGAAAACATTTTGGCTTAAATTTTTTGCCCTAACTTGATTTTTACATAATTTTTTTTTAAAAGTTTAAAAGTAAAAATATATTTTTTTTTTTCAAAATTTTTGTTTTTTTTTTTGTTTCTGGGGAAAAAAAAACCCAAAAAAAAGCGCACGGGTGATAAAATACCACCAAAAAAAAAAGCTCTATTTTTTGTGAAAAAAAGGCCCGAAAATTTTAGTTTGGTACAGCTTTGCGTCCCCTTTGGGCAATTATCATTTAATTATGAAAGCGCCAAACAGAAAAAAAAGGCCTGGCCCCATTAAGGGGGTAAATCCTCAGACCCAAAAAAGTGGTTAATTAAAGGATCACTTCCGGGGGGTTCCCCTAGGGTGGGGGGCAGGCAAATACAGCCTGCCGGGAAAAACCCATTTTCCCCCAGACTGACAGTATCCATCAAAATTTTTTTTTATATTCGCATAAGTCCTCCCAACAGCCCATCGCCACTGCTTGCATCAGAGCTGAGGCTCTAGAGAGGAGTACTGAGGCAGGGGTGGGTGTGGATGTGTTCGAGAGATCGTGAATTGCATAAGAGAAGCCAGAGAACCAAGTGATGAATATCACTAGAAACAAAAAGGAGTATAATAAGTCTGAAAATTGGGGGGAAATAAAGTTTTATTTAAAAAATGGTCAGTCTGCCATGTCAATGAGTTATGAGGCGGGGAGACATGGAAGAGAAAATATGTAAGTCCAATTTCAGCTTTGAGTTTTGAGATTGGAGTGGGGAAGAGGTTTTTGATTATTCTGTAGCTCCTGTTGAGGAGATGTTGCCTTGTCTTCCTTGTCCCTGTAACGGGGATGGATTGATATAGCCATCTTCTATCCGGCCAGTAAGTGCGCGTCCCAACACTATTTAGAGTCATAAGCTCTATTTTAGGGAGAATAGCGCGCGAAGCACAGATTCACCCCCACCCCCCTCCAAACCCCAAGTTTTTCTTCATGACATTACCAGTACACTTATTGTTGCAGAGCCCAGAAGGCAAAGAGTAGTGAAGCCACCAAACTTACTCATAGGGCCCTGTATTCCATGGTTTCAGGTAGGAGATGAGCGAATTATTCCAAAAATTTGGCTGATTCGCCGAATTCGCCGAATAATTAAATTCGCTTCGAGCCGAATATATATCGCTGCGAATTTAACTTATAAAAAGGGTTGTTTCTAGGCTTCAGAGAGCCTTTAATTTAGTGCAGAACACTGTACCTTTAATTATTAAATGCCCTTGGAGTCTGCTGGGGAAGAGAAATAATACTGTCAGTCAGTAATGACATGCAGATGAGTGCCGTCGATCTTAGAATCACCGCACACCTTCACTCATTTGGGCAGTCACGGGGCCAAAACCAGAGTGTGGAGCCACAGTGTGGCGGTGGAGGCAGCAGCAATGGGAGGCCATACAGCACCCTATGAAGCAAAATGGAACCCACCAGCAGTGTGAGGAGACCTGACTAAGTGGCACATGGCAGAGTGTGCGATGGAGACAGCAGCAATGGGGGCGGTGGCCGTACAGGGACCCATGACACACTCTGGTACCCTGGCAGCAGCATGAGGAGGCGGTACAGGTGCCCATGACAGATTCACGGCCTGGCAGCACAAGTGAGGAGTCGGTACGGGGGCCCATGGCAGAATTACGGGCCCTATGGCAGCAGCATGAGGAGGCGGTACAGGGGCCCATGGCAGAGGGGGCGGAGCGTAAGCAGCTAAAATTGCGAAGGCCATACAGAGGCCTATGTTAAAAAGCCCCCCCAGCAGCAGCGTGGGGAGACGACTATCAAGAGTCCAATGGCAGAGTGGTGGAGCAGAAGCAGCTTCAATTGGAGGCCAGTACACAGGCCTACAGGTTTTAAAAGTCCCCTCACAGTTAATTCCAATAACGAACTCTACTCCTCCGTGCAATCTACTTACGAGACCTGGGCAGGTCTGGGTCCAATTTGTGGTAGAGACTGGTTTTGTTCAGCAATGCTTGAGCGAGTAATAACAGGTCTGTGCTGCCCTTTTGGTGTCTGGCTTAATGCGCACAACAACTGAACGTCCCCAGCGTTTGTCAACGATTTGCCGTTAAGTGATGCAAACCCGCTGAACCACGTTCATGAGGAGCCGTACAGGGGGCCATGAATCAGTATGGACCTGGCAGCAGCGTGAGCAGACGACAGAGGCACATGGCGCAGGGTGGCGGTGTAGCAGCATTATTCTGAAGCCATACACAGGCCTAGGTTATTAAAAAGCGGAAGCCGTCAGCAGGCGTGAGCAGACGACAGAGACACATGGCGCAGGGTGGCACGCGGGTGGATGCAGCAGTATTCGGAAGCCAAACACAGGCCTCGGTTAAAAAGCGGAAGCCGTCAGCAGCGTGAGCAGACGACAGAGGCACATGGCGCAGGGTGGCGGTGGAGGCAGCAGCAATGGAAGGCCATACAGCACCCTATCACAAAATGGAACCCACCAACAGTGTAAGGAGACCTGAAAGTGGCACATGGCAGAGTCTGGCGATGAAGTCAGCAGCAATGGGAGGCCGTACAGGGACCCATGACACACTCTGGACCCTGGCAGCAGCAAGAGGAGGCAGTACAGGGGCCCATGGCAGAGTGGCAAAGCGTAAGCAGCTTAAATTGAAGGCCATACAGAGGGCCTATGTTAAAAAGTCCCCCCAGCAGCAGTGTGGGGAGACGACTATCAAGAGTCCAATGGCAGAGAGTTACGACTATCAAGAGTCCAATGGCTGAGTGGCGATCCGGGAAGTCAGCGTTGTGATTGCAGATGCAATGCAGAAATTCTACGAAGTAATGCCGTGGGTGCAAAGAAGATCATATACCGTCGTACTTCCATCCATAAGACGGAACAACCTGCGAACCGGGAGCTTTATTGCCCTGACCCGCTGAGCAGCTTCTGGGATACCCAAGAGGCCCATGGCAGAGTGGCGGAGCGTAAGCAGCTTCAATTAAAGGCCATACAGAGGCCTATGTTAAAAAGTCCCCCCAGCAGCAGCGTGGGGAGACGACTATCAAGAGTCCAATGGCAGAGTGGCGGAGCGGAAGCAGCTTCAATTGAAGCCCATACACAGGCCTAGGTTAAAAAGTCCCCCCAGCAGCAGTGTGGGAGAGATGACTATAAAGAGTCCAATGGCTGAGTGGCGATCCGGGAAGTCAGCGTTGTGATTGCAGATGCAATGCAGAGATTCTATGAGGTGATGCCGTGGGTGCGAAGAAGATCATATACCGTCGTACTTCCATCCATAAGACGGAACAACCTGCGAACCGGGAGCTTTATTGCCCTGACCCGCTGAGCAGCTTCTGGGATACCCAAGAGTTTGGCTTCTGTGGGGAATATGGTTGAAAACTGAAACTTAAAGGCATGTTGACGGAAGGGCACCAGAGTGTCAGTGCTCCGGAGGGAATTATAGCTTCAAAGCTGACACTTAAAGGTATATCGACGGTCAGAGACCACAGGAAGTGGAGCTTGCGTCTTAAATCGACTGAATGTGGCAGACGTGAAGCGTCTACGGGCCGTATATGAAACGGGTTGTTCTTCTTTCTGGAATAAGTGTTGGAAATGGCCACTCTTTTTGGTGTGCCGTTTTGTCTATTTAATTCCGATAACGGACTCTACTCCTCCGTGCAATCTAGTTACGAGACCCTGGGCAGGTCTGGGTCCAATTTGTGGTAGAGACTGGTTTTGTTCAGCCATGCTTGAGCGAGTAATAACAGGTCTGTGCTGCCCTTTGGTGTCTGGCTTAATGCGCACAACACTGAACGTCCCAGCATTTGTCAACGATTTGCCGTTAAGTGATGCAAACCCGCTGAACCACGTTCATGAGGAGCCGGTACAGGGGGCCATGAATCAGTATAGACCTGGCAGCAGTGTGAGGAGACCCGAAAGTGGCACATGGCGCAGGGTGGCGGTGGAGGCAGCAGTATTCGGAAGACATACACAGGACTAGTTTAAAAAGCGGAAGCCGTCAGCAGCGTGAGCAGACGACAGAGGCACATGGCGCAGGGTGGCGGTGGAGGCAGCAGTATTCGGAAGCCATACACAGGCCTCGGTTTAAAACTGGAACCCAGCAGCGTGAGCAGACGACAAAGACGCACATGGCAGAGGATGGATCTGGCAGCAGTATGAGAAGGCGGTACAGGGGCCCGTGGCACAGTGTGGTGATGGGGGCTACAGCAACTGGATGCCAGAAAGTGGCCGATAGGGCTATATACTGCATGGAATTATAAAGTTGTAAAGACAGCGGCCTATAAGGCTATACACATTATAACAATCATGACTTGATTGACCATTGGCCTATAAGGCTATACACAGCATGAATATCATGACTTATTCTGAGAGTGGTTTGGAAGGCTATATACAAAAAGTAACATATGTATGGTTGAATTCCACCTTGTTGCAACGTCGCAGATCAGGCGATGCTGTGGAATTCCGTTCTGCGCTGCAGCTCAAGGAGGGTGTGCTTTGCGGTGTAGGAATGTCTGAAATGCATGCAAAGTTTACGTGACATTTTAAGGATGTCTTGCAGTGGGATGGTGGATTTTAGGAACCGCTTGACAACCAGATTGAACACGTGAGCCATGCATGGCACATGGCACAACCTTCCTTGACGCAGAGCAGACACCATGTTCTTTCCGTTGTCGGTCAACATGGTTCCGATTTTCAGTTTGCGCGGAGACAGCCATCTGTCGATTTCTCTGTTCATTACACTCAGAAGTTCCTCCCCTGTGTGACTACGTTTGCCATGGCATACCAGGTGCAGCACAGCGTGACACCGTTGCGCCCTGCACATGTGATATGCCGGTCGGGTAATGGGACTTGGCACGGGGGTGGCGGCTGAGGACACGGCGGAAGAAGAGGTGGTAGAGGTGGACATCTTTGCTGGACCAAGGACGTGCAAACGTGGAGGCAAAAGCGGCGTGACCTGTCCAAGTTGCTGGTGCGGCTGTGCCGGCACCACGTTCACCCAGTGGGCCGTAAATGACATGTACTGTCCCTGACCGTAGTTACAGCTCCACACGTCGGCGCTGCCGTGCACTTTGGCAGAGACCGACATGCTCAAAGACTGGCCCACCATCTCTTCTACATGTGAATGCAGGGCTGGCACTGCCTTTTTGGCGAAGAAATGCCGGCTTGGCACTCTCCACCGCGGCTCGGCACAAGCCATCATTTCTCGGAAAGGTGCTGAATCCACCACTTGGAAAGGGAAGGACTGCAGCACCAGCAACTTGGACAGGAGGACGTTCAGCTTCTGCACCGTCGGGTGCGTGCTCGCAAACTGTTGTCTCTTGGAAACGGATTCCAAGAAAGACTGCTGACGGAATCCGTGAAGAGGAGTAGCAGGAGAAGGAGCATCTGAACGAGCGGAAGATGCCAACGAGCGACAACTCCCCTCAGCAGAGGTGTTGGAGCCTTGACTGGCTGATAGAGGGCGATTGACGTCGGGTGACGGAGCAAGTAGCGGAGCGGGTGTGATGGAGCGGGGGCTGGGGCAGGCAGAACCGCCGTATCTTTATCACGGTTTTCCCAGGCCACCGAATGGCGACGCTGCATATGCTGACGCAACGCTGTAGTCCCAACATTGGCCCCCTGGCCACGCTTGAATTTCTGGCCACATAGTCGACATACGGCTACGTTTACTTCCTCGGGCGGCTTGACGAAAAATTGCCACACCGCCGAGTAGGAAACTTTGCCCCCGCTACTCCTCACTGGCTGACTGCTACTTCCTCCGTGCAAACCGGCACCACTACTGGCCGTGGTGGTAGGCTGCAGTGGAGCTGGTGCTCTACTCCGTGGCCGTTTGGCTCCACTGACACTGCTGCGACCCTGCTGCCTCCTGGGCAACCCACCGACTATTTTGCTCGCTGGCAAGCTGCCACCCTCTTCTCCTGATGATGCGGAAGCAATAGCCTGATGACGACGAGGCTGCCAAGTGCGATCAGACTCATCATCATCAATTAGGGTCTCCGCCTCACTACTAGCCCCCTCGGCTGCGTGTGGGTCAGGAGACAGACCTGTCTCTAGACCGGCTACTGAGCCACTCTCCTCACCAGTACTTCTTCGCCTGGCTGCTGAAGAGGCGGATGTCTCCTCCCGTTCCTGACCGCCCTCTGTTAGCTCTTCCTCACTGTACAGTGGGGCTGAGCCCACAGCATGCGATACTTCGCTTGGTGAGGGAACACCAAAGGACAGGGGAAGGTCGAGCACACGTGATTTCAGTGGGCTTGCTCCCGGGCCATGCCAACTAACGGTTGTGTCTGACGTACCCACCGACCGTTGGCTGTAGGTGTCAGAGGTGACCTGGGAAGAGGAAGACGACCGAGTCAACCAATCGATGACGGCAGGGTTGTCGGTGGAGACACGACCGCTGGATGACACCGGGAGCACTGGCCTCTGGCTGCGACTAGTGCTGCCTCGACCCCTTCCTCTGCTGCCACGTCTGCTCGCTCCTGAAACATTGCCTCCTCTGCCACTCCTCTGCGAGTTGTCTGACATACTCTTTAATTCAATAAGCACCCCAAAAATAAAACCGGATTTAACTCTTTGAACGTACAATAGTGGTTGTGAAGCAGAAAGTCAGTTTATTTAGCACAATCGGTCAATTGCAGCTTGCCGTTGGCTGTAAACTGTACGTTTATGTCACTGGAATGCACTAATCACCCAAAAAATATTACCGCCAGCCGGCGTGTAAATGGATTTAACTCTTTGAACGTACAATAGTGGTTGTGAAGCAGAAAGTCAGTTTATTGTACACAATCGGTCAATTGCAGCTTGCCGTTGGCTGGAAACTGTACGTTTATGTCACTGGAATGCACTAATCACCCAAAAAATATTACCGCCAGCCGGCGTGTAAATGGATTTAACTCTTTGAACGTACAATAGTGGTTGTGAAGCAGAAAGTCCGTTTATTTAGCACAATCGGTCAATTGCAGCTTGCCGTTGGCTGGAAACTGTACGTTTATGTCACTGGAATGCACTAATCACCCAAAAAATATTACCGCCACCCGCGGCGTGTAAATGGATCTAACTCTTTGAACGTACAATAGTGGTTGTGAAGCAGAAAGTCAGTTTATTGTACACAATCGGTCAATTGCAGCTTGCCATTGGCTGGAAACTGTACGTTTGTGTCACTGGAATGCACTAATCACCCAAAAAATATTACCGCCAGCCGGCGTGTAAATGGATTTAACTCTTTGAACGTACAATAGTGGTTGTGAAGCAGAAAGTCAGTTTATTTTGCACAATCGGCAAACTGCAGCACCAACTGTGCACGACAGCCACCAAAAAAAAAAAGGGTGTATGTCACTTTAAATTTTCGATTCTTTGATATCTGTGTCCCTGAGTAACGATTCTGTGTCCCTGAGTAACGATTCTGTGTCCCTGAGTAACGATTCTGTGTCCCTGAGTAACGATTCTGTGGCCCTAAAGTCTCTGTGGCCCTAACTCTGTCCCTTAATACACACAGGTCTGTCTCTCTTGAATGACCGGAGGCTAATGGAGAATTCTAAGATGGCCGCGATTTATAGCTCCACCATTACAC